GCCACCTTCTAAACCAACCTAATCCGATTCCGAACTGAAATCAAGCGTGACTGAGGCACTAACGTTTCCTGTGGTCACGAGCCCTTCCCAATCATTCTTAGAAACGTCACGGAACGCTCCACCCAAAAGAGGCTTCTTCCAAGAACGTTGTAAGACATCTTTGAGAAAGGCCACGAAAGAGATAAAATGTAGCCACTCTTACAGCAGTTTTCTTGTTTTTACTTGAGTTCTTCCGTTCTCTTTATGCTATTTTCCTTTGTTATAATTCTTACTATGATTTTCATCTGTTGGTTTTACGACTCTCGATCGATTCGCGCTCCATGCGAGGTTCGTAGCGAGAAAGAAGGGAAACTAAGGAATTTTCATCACCTGATCGCACTAAGTTTTTCTTCGACTGACTCCCACGGATTCCGATCTTCACTGAACTCAAGAAGCTCTAGAAAAAAATAACAAAATCGTAACAAATTAGAATATAAAGAAACTGCGGCAACCGTCATCATTACATTTGACTGCATATTGTCTTCTGCTAAATTAACAAATCACCTTGATGAGAGACCTCCTGCTCCCTGCCGTGGCAGATTTCTATAAAGCTCTCGCTTAAAACACAAGGGGGGGAGGTATAAAGTACGCGGCTCCACTCTCATTTTCACGTTACTCCACCCCTCTCAATCTCTGCTCCTCAAATGACATTCAACTGACAACACTTCGAGATGATATGTCTAATCAGACATTCTCAATCCCAAGTAATTCAATACCGACCTTTTGCGAGATTCATTTCACTGATCCAGTCTCCCTCCTTGTAATATTTCACACGCAAATTCTGCAGAGAGATAAGTCGTAGTAAAACAAATCAATTACCTCCTTCCGTCCCACATCGCATTCTAAAGCCCACGCACGCGCAGTATACCTGCGCAATCGCACATGGTTTCAATAACACAAGGTGGTAAGTGCCTCTTGTCACTCGAGTCTCATCAAGTATTTGATAACTTACCAGAAAAGGAAATCTCTCCATGCGGGTGAGTTGTAAAATCCGATCCACATCATATTCAAGGCGAGCGACTTTCTTGGCCTGTGTGTAGGTCGTGCTCATTTGTGCAACGAGAATGTTGAGCAGAATTACAGTCACTGTCCCCATGTACGCCATCATCAGCAGAACTGACAGCCAGCTGCAGGAAAGAAATATCCACAAACTTTAGCACGAATATATATATGGCCTCCAGTTAAGACCAAAACCTGATTCTCTATTACAGACCTGCTTCGCTGAAGTGGCGTTTTAAACACGAGTGGAAGCCGCTATTACACGCACAGAGAAGTAATAACTAAAAAGATTAGTGCCACTTACTTGAAAGTTGAGTAGTCTTCAACCATTGGATACTGATCAGACAGTGCTTGAAATCCGCTCAACAAGACGTTTCCAAAACCACTACAAACAAAATTAAAGTTAGTATGTTGAGTTTTTGCACTTCGTATGAGTTATATCCACCAAGTTCCTGCGTTCAGTAAATTTCTTTTGCAAAAGGGGGAGAATAGTTTGACTAAATAAAAATTCTAGCTCATCAAACCAAAAAAAATTCCAGAGGAAATTCTCGAATATTTTACTGCCTTGTAGGAACCAAAGCCTTAATTTTTATTTTCAAAGACAACTTCATAGCTTTGTTCAGGGGATATACTCAACAGAAACGCACCGAAGTTCTTGGTTTTCCCTAAATCCAGAGTAACAGAGTGATAAAGTCAATGCCCCACAGAAAGAGAAAAAGATCACAACAAAAACTGCCATGGATCGTGTGACGTCATGTAATATGATTTTGGCCAAGGTTTTTGTGTATAATCCTGTAGTCCTAAAAAAGATATAAGGTAATGTTAGGTTAGATTATTACAGAGGCATAAGTTTTAAGTCATCAACGCTCTTTCTGAACTAAAGTAACCAGCTGGAAGTTGTAGGTTACCTTGACACACATGAAAACTTAAAGATCCTCATGAAGTTGAACAAGAAGGCCAAAGATGTCACCATCCACTGAGCTTTATGAGCAATGTATCGTAACGGTATTATACATAAGATCAACAGCAGGCCTAACCAGTCAAACAGAGCCATCCACTCTGTGAAATAAGAACGCCCCTCTCTGCAAGAAAACAAACAATTTCCATGACTTTGCTCCTCTTCTAATTTCGAGGTCTTTTTCTTTTCTTTGAATGTGGGGTCATTCATTGAGATACGGGGTAAAATGGGAGGCCTTCTTGATGAAATTTCCACAGAAAAACTCGATCACCATAATTACTTACATTCTTATCTGATTTATTTCCTCACAGACGTAAAAACCAACCATAAGAAGAGTGACAACTTCACAAAGTCCACGTAGTGAGTCCAGCACACCACTGTACCGGGTGGAGTCTAGTCTGATAGACGCATGCAGCAGAGAAAATGACATGCACAGCAAGAAGATGCAAAGAAATGCTGCTTGAAGGCTATAGATAAGGAAAAGTAATTATGAGTGCCTCTGCAGGAGTAAAATGTAGAAAGGGTACAGGATCAGAAATTCAAATAAAGATATGAAACATTAAGTTATTGGTAACCTGTCTAAAACTTTTGTTATCAACCTTTGAGAAATGAAAGTCTTTAAAATTTGGAAAGTAACATGCATTCACAATGTTCCAAGAAATACTATGTTAATACTGAATCATACTACACAGAAGTGCTTTCATGGTCTTATTATAATATATGTAGTGGCAAAAATAAACTCTATAAATCTTGTCTTTTTTAAGGTTCATCGATACCCAATTCAACACCTATATCCATAAAGATGATACAGCTATTTCCAAAATTTACAGTATGAAGACTGCAAACACAACTGAATTACCTAAGGAACAAGTGTCCATAGCTTCTCCATTTTGTTTTAATCAACATTCTGACCACAGGATGTTGCAAAGCCTCCTACAAATGAAAATCAAGAGCTGATTTCTTTCCTAAAAAATTTTGTTTCTTCCCTAAATAATTTTGGCATAAGAGTGATCTAAGATTCAAACTCTTGCAGAAGTATCTGTGACCAATATATCAATCTGTCTACTTTTTCTACTTATCTTTCAATGCATTTACATATTTTACCAAAGAATTTTCCTTATGTTTTATTAATGTCTTTAGATTAATCTTGCCTTGTTGTTGCTCATTGCAATTGCATGTAAACAAGAATTATCTCTCCAGTTGAAATATTTGTTTTCTATCTGCTGCTGTCCATCTGAGGCCACAATCTTTGGGGGCCGTCCACCCTCATCTCCATCCAAGATATGATAATAAAAATAATAGTTTAATGGATCATCAGAGATTGTTTTCCAGACTCCTTCAATAGCCTCTCTCTCTAATTCAGTTTCATAGTTTTCTTGGCGCCGTGGAAGATATGGCCAATGAGGGTTCATCATCTGGTCTAACACTGCCACTACTGTTTTCTGTAAAGAACGATTAGATCATATCTTATTCTATCAAAAACATTTCTATTGCACATATATTAAGTAACTGATATTATAAAAGTAATGATCAGCCCAAAAGGTAATGTTCAATCTGTCTTTGTCACACAGCTGTATGCTGCAAAAGAACAACAACAGATAAGATTGGCCCCGGTTCTAGGAGACTGAAAGAAGCAAATACTAGAACCCTATATACAAGGCTGCTAAAAAGCATTAAACAATGTCAATGGCTCCCTCGGCAGGTGCGATTTCTACGTCACAATTATTAGTCATACGCAGCGTGGCGCTTCACCCGCGATCCTCGAAGGCAAACTAAGGCCAACTGAAGGAGGGCAAAGGATGTCTTTGCTCGGATCCAGGAAATTGTTTGCGAGTATCGTTTCCCTTTCTTGGTGGCTATCAGCTCGGCAAATCAGCTGTGGTATCTTATGCATTCCATCCCCATCCCTCCTGTAGTTATTATTAATACTACTAATAATAATAATAATAACAATAATAATAATAGTAACAATGAGCTATTTGAAAGGCAAAATTTATATCTAATAAAGACCAAACATATTTGACACTAGGTCATCATCATTTACCCTGATGATAACCTGTTGAAAAGGTTTGGTTTTCACTGTTTTAAATATATTTTTGTCTAATAGATAGCTCATTTCAAACCCAAGCAAACTTTGTGGACAGTAATAATAATGATAATGATACTGTGTGATGAGCACAACAAAGAGGATGATGATAATGATGACGACTTTTTCTGCTCTTATCGACAAAATGGAAAGTGTGAAGATTAAACAAATTCTCGGTGGTTAAACATGGTTTGTACTCAGTTTTTGACAACAATATTCATCATCAAAATGATAAAAACATTGTGGACTCACTGAGTGAAAGCACAGCGGCTGCCATAGACAGGATAACTGTAGTGTACTGGGAACATAATAAAACTGCTTGCACTAGCTAATGTTAGTGATATTACTGTAGGATTAATGAATGATGTGAAAGTACTGTTATGAAGTACGATGATTGTACCAGCTTATTAGATACTTGATCAATGAATTAAGACAGAACATAGAAAGCAATTGAAGAGTGTGTGTCTCTACTAAATGAATACACAACAATAGCAAAGACCAGACTCACTTAAAGCCAGCTGGTGGAGAAATTTACAAGAATGTTACTTACATGAAATCTACAACTGGCTTCAAAATGTTGATCAGGATTTCTAAATGGCAGGCACCAACACTCCCACCTCCCTCTTCACCCCTTGTGTTTTTTTTTGGACTCATGCAACAGACCTCATTAAAAGAAGCAACTAGTTATAGTTTATCTGATAAACAATGTGTTTTTTTCACATCTTTTGAAAAAAGTGACAATTTTGAGCTTATATTTCTAAAATAATATGCGAAGAAAACTGCTGAACTCCCTTGTATGGATCCACAAGCAGCTCTTCTTACTTCATTAAGTTGCTTATAAATATGATGGAAATAAAATCAAACCTGCAATTCGTTAAAAAATATACAAATCCAACAGTCTCACCTTCATTTTAGGATTCTGGATGACTGCCTTGAAACTGCAGGAGGATGGTTTTGGATTTATCATATCATCTGGTGTCCAGGAAAATAAGCTTTGAACTCTAAAAGTGGCAGGAGATTTAAATCAAATACTTTGAAGGTAAGCTTCCAATACTTTCAACTTATAATAAAGCTGGCAGTGCACGTGGGCATTATGAAGCAGATCCTGTGTTCTTATTAGCTACATGAGCAGGCAAGATTGGCCCTTCCTGCCCACTAGCGATTACTTGCCTTGATCCCACATGAGGAAAAGGAGTGGTGTGGAGCAGACATACAAAGTTCATAATTTTTTTACAACAATAGAACAAAGAAAACATCAAACAATTCTTATGGGTTTATTGCTCTGCAATTTAAACACTGTTGAATTTCTTTTCTGGCTCTCATAATAAACAAGTAATTCTTGATTCTTATTATCTTATTATAATGACATTTTTTTTGCTATATGATAATTCTTTTATCAACTAAGCCTGGTTGGTCAAGTTGGCTGCATATTAACCCCATTCAATTTTTTGAGTATTTATGGAGCTCACCTTTGTCTCGGTCCATGAAACACAAAAAATTAACTCAGCCAACATCCAGCCATCTTGACCTCACCCTTGCTGGTCAATAATGCAAATCATATAATTAATTGAATTTAGGGTGCCGACACCTTGCTGGCATATGAGTTACATAGCTCCACTAGTGTAAAGCACTCTTTGAATCAAGATAAAGTTTTACGTATTTATATGTTAAATATTATATGTATCAGGTTAATCCCCATAGAAAGGAAAATCAATCTGTGTTCACTCATTATGCATTATTTTTTGTAAAGTGGATTCAAAAATTGATAGTCATCATGCAGCATAAATTATTATTTTTTTCAATCTGGACTTTAGTAATATTGTAATTCTTCTGCGACAGGAAGCTCATGGCTTCACATATCCAATCATTCTAAAACCTATCATGTTACAAACTTATCACTGTCTTTGTAACAAACACATTTTTACCTTTTATACCACATAACTCTGATCAAATAAGCTGCCACATCATCTTTCTCTGCCTCTATTGCCAATTCTACTGGTAACATAGCTCTTTTTTGGAAAGGTTTTCGCTGAGCTTCTGTTGTCATGGCAAGCAGCAGAGGACATTTCTTCACAAGTGTTTTGGTCACATGCAAAAAGCCAAGTTCTGCTGCATAATGCATCAATGTTTTCTCAGCCTTGACCCTGGTATCTCTGAACTTCTCATACCTCTTCTTTGAGTTTAGTTCACTTTCTAACAGAATCTCTAAAAGCTGATTAATCTACAAAACACAGTCAAGGTAACAGTCTTTCAATTACTTCATAACTAACCAAAAGCATTTCCTGAAAAATTGTAAACTGTATGGGTTAGGAAGAAAGACAAGTAAGTTCCCCCTACCTTTTGTTCAAGGCCTTGAAGTTTATCGGGGTTATCTTGGTACTGTTTTGAAGCTGGCCACTGTTTTAACATCACAAGCGCTGGATCCTCATGGTCTAGTTCCCCACTGTCCTTGTACTTCTGAATCATTCTTTCAACATGAACCTCACCCAAAGCTCTGTTCCATGACAATCTTTTCTTCTGCCTCTGGTGAACCTGGTCACATAAATCGAGCTTTCTCAATAGGTTATACCTAAGGGTTTAATACGTGGCTCAAACACAACTCTATAGAACTGAAAAAAAAAATTAAAAAACTAGTCTTCTAGTAAAATCAGCATTTCACCTTCATTACCTTTATCCAGAACTCCTTGTCAAATTCTTCATCTGACAAATTTCCTCGCTGCTGATCACGACAGCAATCAATTTCATGCTGATTGCCTAGTTTGTTACCCTTTTCAGCGCCCTCCATCACTTTTTCTACTTTCCACATCCCTGGATCGCTTAACACAAGCCACATTTAAGTTATTTGTATCAATTGTGAACCATACTTTGGAGGTAAATACCGCTCATTTTCGTAAGCTCACTCTCGATGGTTAGTCAGTACCGTAATTTTGAGGAGTGAATAGTTATCCGAGCCGAGCTGCCAAGCGACAAATAGAGGCCTTGGCCCGACTCATGCCCAGTGTCCTATATGCCTTTCTTTGAAAATCGGAGGTTGGAAAAAAAAAAACCTTTCATAAATTTTTCAACCTAAACTGAAAAACGAGACGTTGTAAATCAAAATAATGAAGGTCATAAAGCAAACGAAAATTTGCCGGATACCTTCCCCATTAGAAAACAATGATGTGATTTTTCATGTGATGGCCACTAACCTGAATCAAGAGAGTAATTTTCATTAGAAACTGATGAAGATGAAATTCAGGGCTAAAATTCTAATATAAGCTGAAATTTCATGTTGTAATTTCAGTGTTTAAGCTGCCATTGAAACGAAAGATATTTGTTGTTATTATGCAATTATGTTTTGTCGGTGTTATTTTCAATTTGAAATATTTCACATGCCTCAGTTATTTGACCTGTGATTGGTCAAGGTGTTTCTTTTCCTTTTGTTATTCAAACGTTTTTTTTAGGAATTGGCATATATATACTAGTGTATTCTGTTTCTCTCTCTGTCGTTGTAACCGTTTATTTGGATGTGAGCGGAATAAAAAAGAAGCAGTTTATTTTAATCGTGTAAAAACTTCAATATTTGTGTCTATGTACGCTTCCATAAGTTCACAATTCATCAGTGACGCTAAATTGCTAACTTTTCATTACTCAACGTTTCTCAAGTGATGAGTCGATCAAGCCCGCGAAATTTTGAGCTTGCCAGATCATTTTGGCAAGTTAATGGGATATGTGGCTGGTTGTGATAAAATTGCAGAATAAATCTGATTGAACTAGATTCTCAAGCGTTCTTTCGACAAACTAATTTGCAAAAGAGTGGCTGGAAATATCAATGGTATTTATTTACGCCTTGAACTCTTTTCAAAGCGAGATGGATAACTGAGTACGCTTTCTGTCACTAACTACTAGATGAGCGGTTGGAAGGAGGTGGGGGAATAAAAAATTAAGATGTACAACATCTTGAATATTAAAGGATGACCTTGAGGATATGTCTTTTGAGTTAGCAACTTGGTTGCATTGTTAAAACTACTATCTGTTAAATTGCAAGAGCGAAAAAAAAATTGTTATATTATGTAAAAAGAAGCCTACAATGGCAAATTTTCCACCCATTGTACACCGTAGAGATTCGCGATTCACAATGAATGATCACTAAAATTTCACAGCGTAAATAGTTCGGGAAAAATGTCAAATTGTTAAAATGTCTCTGGCAGAGAGTTGTAAAAGATGCAACAAAGTGTATTCGCTATGAATACGGTGTTAGAAGCCAGAGTGAGTATTCCATAAGAATTCCAGACTCCAAGAATCAAACGCGAGCTTAAAGGCCTCCTGAGTGCTTCTGTTGTTTTGAGGTGCCTGTAAACTCTGAACATTGCACAATTAATGATGAATTTCAAGCCTAATCACACATATCTTTAATGCAAATCTTCAAACCAGGGTCATACGGATATGTCTCTCTCTCGGGGAGTCTAACATTCTTTTCACATGCAGTTTACACATTTGACATACATTGCAGTAGCTAAAGTGTTCCTTTGAAGCTTTGTCGGCTGTGCTCAGTTTGCAAACGCAGTTTTAGCTTCCCATCTAAAAAAAATTGAACCAGAGCATCCCGAAGAAAGCAGGTACACTAAGTTCGAAAATGAAATGCTCTTTGTTTTTGTATACTGAAAGCGACAGAACTAAAGGAAGGCGAATTATGGACTATTTTCAAGGCAAGCTGCGGAAGGTTGCAGATATGCAAAATATAAATAACCTTCTGGCGAGGGACCGAGATTTCAGAAGGGAACTTCGCCGCAGTGAATGTGTTGTGTTGATCGGGACACGACAAGCTTCGTCCCTCATCCAGAACAAGCAACAAGAAAAAGACGAAGATGATATCATTTTTGACGGCAAAGTTATGCACGAAGAGTTCACAAAAAACAAAGAGCTCGTCAAGAACAGACTCATTATCATTCACTTCACAGAAAGAAGCGAGAATGATGACTGGATCCCGTCAGATTTTGATGAAAATCGAGTTTTTCATGTGGAAGATGGAATAGTTCCTCCAGATGGAAGTCCAACCTTGGCACACCTTGAATATCGCATGAAAAAAATATTGCTTGGAGATGAATTCTTGTACTGATCATGAGCTCAAGGAGTAAAGGAATTCGAAGGGGTCTATCTATGGAGAGGGAAAGTCACAGTTGTAAAACGCTGGTTCCTAGAGTGATCGCTTTTGAATATCTGTTTCAGAGTGTTAGACAATGATAATTAATCGTAGCCGTGTGATACATTTTCTTCAGTAAAAAAACACTTTTTCGATGGTTAAGCTTTTAGCTCAGCCGTGTGGTTTAATAGCGGATGACGTAATGATGATAACTTGACAAAATGTAATTCAAACAGCTTAGGGTATTGTAGACAAGTGCTTTAATATTGTTACGAGGAGACGGCATTCGCTTACAGAGCTTTCTAACAACCTGTAGAGAAGAAAAAATTGATCAACGTCAGTTTTACATTCTGTAAATTCCTCAACGAATGCTTAGATCCTGTCATGTTCTTTGTTTATTAATGAGTCTACACATTTTGCTTAAAAAAATGAAAAAGAAAAACTAAACATATGCTGTTATTTGCTTAATTATTATTTTTATGACGCATGAGTATACTGTTGGCCTCTGATCAGAGCAAGGTATGTTATATTGATTGACCACCAACGTTCTTTCTCTTCGTAACGGAATAAGCACAGTGTTGGCACATAAAGTCGACCTCAAGCAAAAAATGAAAATAAAATGTTGACGTCACGATGAACCTGCTTCCAGGATCCGGCCCCTGTTCCCACCGACCATACCCAAGAACGAGGTTGACGTGATGGCGGGTTTCGCAATTCTTGCACCCAGGCTTACCCCGACATACTCGACCAAACGCTTGGGACGTGCAATGAAGAAATTATTGAATTTTCTTTCTAGTTTCTGAACTAACGATTTAATTGGCTTCAATATGCAATTTGTTAAATAAAAAAAAACAAAATTAAAAATATATATAATTCACACACGAGAACTTTGCTCCCTCTTTAAGTTACCCTTCTAGAACAATTACCCAAGTACCGTGGAATTTTATCGGTCGCCGACGGGTTCCGCTTTGTAGCTATCGCCTACAATAACCTGGTAAAAGAAGTGAAAGATGTCGGAAAGTTCAAGCACAAAGCTCTTATCTTGACGCATACAAAGATGAACAGCCGGCGGATTCAAAATTATTTTTAACCCTTAGGGCCACCGTTTACTTATAAAACCTTTACTTACAGATATGGTTTGATTTTTAAAGTCTACCTCGACCTCAGTCTGATCTCCTCCACATGGATGAGATATTCCACAATATCTCATACTTCTGACTCAAAATTACACGCGAGTTTTGCCAGTCAAAATTCCCTTGATGCAATCCTCGAGATGGTCCAGGGAAGGATTTCCTCTCTGAATTTCTTCACCTTGCAGGTTAAAAATTCACCTTTCCTCCAAACCAGTTGGAATCCAATCATTCTTGGTCCTCTCCGTAAAAAAACTATCACCAATCTGAACAAGTTATTTGTTTCCTGTGAACTCGCCATGTATCACTTTAACGTCGAAAGTGATTAAATCATCTTCGATTTCTTGGCGTTTGTCTTGAATAAGAGACGATGCTTGACGAGATCCTGTCAACAAAAACACAGCTACTGCGAGAAAGTTCTTTCTTATCCTGTTCCTCTTCCAGAATGTCGGTGACACTTCGTAGATCTGCCACTTTTCGCAGCTTGCCTTGCAAGTAATCCTTAAGCTGTTCAACTTTAGTCCTGTCGCTTTCAGAATACAGGAACAAAACGCATTTCATTTTCAGTGATGAACCTACGGACAACTGAGACAGATAAACACGCTCGTCAAGTGTAACAATGAATTTCGGCTCATCCTCGCTGTAAAAACCTGTGAAGCTCACGAGTGACATAAAACAAAGACAACAAAACATTATAAACAATAGCGTACAGCGAAAAAAAAACCTCATGAAACAAAGAAGACCTCGTCAGGTTTTTACACCGAGGACCCTGAATTTCCTTCTGTAAACTTAAATAATTCGAAGGAATTTCTGCCTCTTTAAATCTTAGATGGGAAATCAAACACACCTTTGTTCCCTTTATAAACCACAGTCGAATAATCTGCTTCAAGTTTACCCTATACCCTCAATCAGACAATAAACAACTTTTCACTGGTAAATAGGGTACTAGCTGCTGCACAAGATTAGAAGCTCCACACGGATTGAGCCCGGCTTCCGGCGAGCAACAGAACCAATTTATTGATTGTAACGTCAAACATGATGTTTAAATATAAGTCTCTTTCTTCTTGACTGTTATGATGGCTAGAAAGGTACATAACCTCAAAATATGTTTCTGTTGGATTAATTCAAAATTATTTATGATTTCTTCTGAAACGAACTGTCAGTTGAAATAGAGCTTTTTGCTCTATTGCAACTGAAATGTAAGATATTCTTTTACATTTCTTGATAAAAGCATACTGATTGAAATATCCTCAAACTTTGATATTATGAAATNCTGAAGTGGCGTTTTAAACACGAGTGGAAGCTGCTATTACGCGCACAGAGAAGTAATAACTAAAAAGATTAGTGCCACTTACTTGAAAGTTGAGTAGTCTTCAGCCATTGGATACTGATCAGACAGTGCTTGAAATCCGCTCAACAAGACGTCTCCAAAACCACTGAAAGCGTCAAATTAAAATTAGCATGTTGGATTTTTGTACTTCGCATGAGTTATATCCACCAAGTTACCGCGTTCAGTAAATTGCTTTTGCAAAAGGGCGAGAATGGCTTGAATAAATAAAAATTCTAACCAGTACAAAGCAG